CCCATCGATCCAGCCTGTCCAGGTCCCTCTGCAGGGCTTTGCTTATGCATGTCAGAGGGCAACATATTTTCTGTAGGTATGGAGGCTCTTTAATATGGAGAGTCTCAAGAATCTTGTCACAGTTTCTGTAGGTTTGAAAGTAGGGCAGTATGTTGAATTGAATGGAATGATTCATTCTCATCTTCAAGTGGGCTCACAACAATTTCAGATTTACCTCACATTTAACATCTCTGACATCATTGTCAGGGATTTGGGTTCTCCATTCGTTGTTGCCAAAAGCAAATGCTATAGTTTTATAATGTGGATAATTAGAACCTTTCTGCATAGGCAAGACAGAATAATTGTTACTGGGTAAAAGACTTTGGACTTTGCAGCTGTGAAAGCTGGAAACAATGATTTTGATTCTCTTCTGACTTGGTGCATAGCTAGCATAGACTGTAAAACTTTGCATCCTGTCTCTTGTACAGTGGATTTCAATTGTGCGGATGGGCCACAGTGCTGGCAGTTGTTGAGGTTGCTGCGTGTACAGTTTACTTTTGTGTATCCACTTTGGGTTTCATGTTAAGCTCATATCTTCAGTAGGGAATGCTGTGGAAGGGTAACACAATAAAATTAATAATATTTTCCAATGAACAGAATGCAACAAATGCAAAATTACTGATCTGTGGCTAAATTAAATTTGCAGGAGAGATTAAGAGTATCACATGCTATTTTTCTGTGTGGTATAGGTCCCACTGACAACTTTGCATTCAAAGTGCCCAAAGTTGAAACTAGAATACGGCCCATAGTAATATAGGGGCAACTGGTTTGTACTGCTTGTGTGTTATAGGATTATGAATTCCAGATACCCACAGGAGGAATATGTCTGTGCTTAGACTTCTTAAAAATGCATCTGCTAGTGAGAATTTAATCTCTGCTACTAATAAAGGTGTTTCTTCACTGGAACTAACATGTTGTTTTAGTATTCTATTAGCTTGTCTATTGCAATAAAATACGTTCTCTTTTACAGGCGTTTAACTAAGGAAAATGTGAAACCCTCTGGAAGACAAATTGGGAAGCTCAGCCACAGCAATCCTACAATTTTATTTGATTATGTATGTAGTTACATGTATTTGTATACTATTTCATCCTAACAGTGTTAAAGTATAGGAAGGGACCTGCTGTCTTAGAGGGCAGTTCTAATGTCATTATTTTTTACTTTTGATGCAAATATTAAAATACGGTAATTTCCTAGTAGTGCACAGGTCTGAGATAACTAAATATGACAGTAGGTCTTGAATAACCACAACTACATAGAAAATTACATCCAATTACTTATAGGAGTGAAGTATTTAATTTGAGATAGCTGAGGTGGGTCTCAGAGGTACAGGGATGTGCTGAATGCAAATTCAAGAAAACATAAAGCTTTGAAGTCTGAAATACATCTGTGAAGTTGGGGAGGATTTCTAAGATTGCTTGGTGCTACAGGATGCTTGAGAGGTATAAAAGTATGTTGATGGACATCCACCTGATTCACAGATGTGACTTGTGATTATTGATCTACCAGTTACTAGATTTTACTTGAAGAAATTAATACTGCAGTACACACACACGCACATAATGTACCAAAGAGAACATTCTAGAATTTCATTAAATACAGTTTGCTTGTATTCTTTCGTGACCTAGGTTCATTTTTTAATAGTCTTTTATTATTATAAGTAGCAACAGAAACTCTTACTGCTAAGGTTTAGTATTTTTAAGAAATCTTAGGAAAACGTGAAATGTTTTCACAATTTTATTTTCTGATAATTGAAAAGAAAAATAATTATACAGAATTGTTCATGCATGTTAGAAACATGTTTCACTGGTATCTCTAAGGTACTAGATAAACTAATAAGATTACCTATTACTTTGAAAGTGGTTTAGGACCTTCTGAAAAATCAGTTTCAAAGGATGTTTTGTGTAGGTTTTGAAGACAAGCATTGTTAAACAGTTTTGATTTGTTATGTGAAAGATAAGGAATACTGTTCCTGTTCAGCTGAATGTGTTCTGTAACTTTCAGATTTTATCACAAATACAAAAATACGATAACTTAATAACTCCGGTTGTTGATTCACTGAAATACCTCACTTCGCTGAACTACGATGTCTTGGCATGTATCCTTTTACTTAAATCAATATGTCTAGTTACTGATAAAGTTGCGGTTGTAGCCAGATTTAAATCTTTTGTCTGTGAGTAAATATTATCTTGTATTGTCTATTCTTGCTGCTTTTTGCTGTAAATTTTAGGGAATTTTGCAAGTACCTTTGCACTCTTAGTGGGTGACAGAACCCTCTCTATTTGTTCTTTCACACTATGAAAATTATACTTTTTAAGGGTTTTTCTACTACTTTCACTGCGTTTTTGAAGGCGTAGTGATCCTGTACATAGTGAGGTAAATACTACTTTTTAAGTTACCATTTCTTTCTTTTTTTTTTTTACCATAACTGTGTTAGTGGATCCCCTGTATCATGCTTGCTATACTTGTATGTCATGTTCATGTATTACACAGACCTGTTTTTCAGCTCCACAATTTGTAACTTTTGTTTTTACAAATTGAGGAAAAATATTCTCTTTAACTCCACTGAAGACTGTATCATTGAAGCTCTGGCAAACCCTGAGAAGGAGAGAATGAAACATGATGACACTACAATCTCGAGCTGGCTGCAGAGTTAGTATTCTTGCTTTATTTATTACATTAATGTTTAAAATACTTCACCTTCCCTATGATCTACCACACAATTGATCATTATGATTAATATTTCACTTGAATCTACCAGCTAATTTTCTAAACAAAACACAGAAAGCTGGCAAGTTTAATCAACAGGAAAATATTTTTTCTTTGTATTACAAAAATACATATATTGCTGACATTTCATGTGTACTTTGTTAATGCTTATTTAATGATTAGTACCTCATGAGGTGCAGTCACAGCTGTTTCTCCTTGCTTTAGGTCTGGCTAGTTTCTGTGGTGCAGTTTTCCGAAAATACCCAATTGAACTTGCTGGTCTACTTCAATACGTAGCCAACCAACTGAAAGCTGGGAAAAGGCAAGTATTGAACAACTGATCTTTATAAACTCAATTTTTATAATGTATTACTTGGGTGTTTGCTGATACATGGATGCTCAGTGTTGCTAGTAGTGGCAAAGTTCCATTCGTAATACCAGGAAGGTTAAGAAATGTAAATAGCAGAAAGAATAATATCCTTTTTAGTACATTTTTTTTCCCCTCTAATTGTATACTTTTGACATTTTATTTTTGAAGTACTGATTTTTCATCTGTAACTTATTTTAATACAGTTACCTTAACAACTAACCAGACAGGGAAAAAACTCTGCTGGTCTGTAATATAGTCATAGAAATTATTGTACGTTATTTAAAACATAAGTGTCCGTGATGTATAAAAGGGGGTGACTTAGAGTTTTAGGGTTTTTTCTCATAGTGTTTTCTCTGCAGGGATGGCTCTGAACATTTTAATATTAATACTTTGTCAAATTTATTTAATGGCAGTTGAATTGCTTCAAGGTTAATCATAACTCAAAAAAAATTTTTAAATAAGGTTTACAATTTGAATCTTCCTTTTCCTTTTGTCCTTCCATTGTCATCACTTAGTATTATTGTTTCGTTTATTTATTTATTTAATTTTAATGTGTTATTTTTATCACATAGGTGAGTATCAACTTTTTTCTATTACGAGTCCCCATATGCTTACTGAAAGACAGCTTGCCAATGGAGATAATGCAGCATGTTACTTTAGGGTATTTATGTTGAGAAACCTAGTGTTTTCCCTTCCCTGCAATGTAGACACTCAGTCTCATGTGCTCCCCTGTCCCCAATTTGTTTTGTATTCTGATGATGGTACAATCACATTGAGCTACAGAGGAAGGGTAAGTCATGTTTCTTGTCTTTCCCCAGAATTAAGTATTAAGACTTTAAGTATTTTGAAAAAAATCAAATTAGTATTCAGTTTAGTATCTGGGATCGTAGAAATAAGATGGATTTACCACTACTACCTGTTCCATAGGACTGGAGCATTCAAGTATTTGAATTGGCGTATATGCTGGTATTGCATAGTTCTTAGGCAGAAAACGTACTTATGGTAGGAAGAGCAAACAAAAATATAAACAATATAAATTATTTAAATATAAATCTTTGGTTTGGAGGGCATGGGTCAACACTTTTTTATGAGTAGGTCACACAAATTTCAGAAGTTACTGGAAAATATTGCTTGTTTAAATGATCATGGTACAATTTACTGTACTTCTGTTGAGAAAAAGTCATTGCCCTTATAGAATTCAGAGCAGGAAGTAAAGCCTAGTCTCTGGATGGGATGATTATTGGAATGTTTTGTATATTATGTGTGTTAAGTAAAAAATGTTTTCCATGTTCCAGATAACCTCTCCAGACTAATTTTGCAAGTAAACTTTGAAGCCTGTGTACTATTCTAGAAGTTTTTAATAAAATTTCTAGTATTCCATTTTTGTGAAATAACTGTATAGATACAGTATGAAGCATGTAAAAACAACAAAAGGGAGCAATAAACTTTGATTAATTTGTTCATACTTCAAAGTTAATAGCACCACACTCACTATTATTTTCCAAAACAATGAAATTGTTCTGAAGGGGTGTTCTGAAGGAGTTCTGAAATCCAGCTGTTGAATGCCTGCATTGCTTTTAAGTACTAACTTTTTACATTTCTTTTAATGCGCACCATAGTGTTGCCTTGTACTGTGTATTGAATGTCATAGCTTCCATTTCTTAAACAAATTTTCTTGTTTTTACTCCACTTCTGTTTTCTGTGCAGCTTTGATTTGCTTATTTTAAAAGAGGTAGTACAGAAAATGGCAGGGATAGAAATTACAGAAGAAATGACGATGGAACAATTGGAAGCCATGACTGGTGGAGAACAACTAAAAGCTGAGGTGCGTTTGTGTTAAATTTAATTAATAATAGCTACTGCTTATTAATGGTGGTTCTAAAGACTCTGATTCATTAACTCTAGCAGCATAGCTGAGAAAGGTGTTACTGGTTTCATCGGAGAGCTTCCCACTCTGTTGAGCTTACAAGCCTTGCAGACAGGCAGCCAAGACAATGTGTACATGAGCTTTAATTGTTGTGCTTTACAGCATCTCTTATTAACAAAAGCAGCCTTCATTATCCAGTGTTGTATGACAGACCTGCAAATTATAGCAGCCAGTGAGCTTGTACGTTGTGCAGTCCTGCTGTTTTAGCCCTGCTCTGGGAGTTGCAGCTCCCTGTTGAGCAGAGTGACATCTTAAACTGTTTTAACAGCTAAAACTGTTGCAGTCTTGGCATCAAAGACCTAGCTGAGTCTGACCTAGAGTTGAGTAGCTATAATCAGATCTAAAATCTGAAATTGCTGTATTGAACAGAGAAGGCTGACTTTGAGCAGATCACAGCAGACCTAGGTCTAAAATACAATGTCATGATGCCTGAGCTGAATAGTCACTCTTTGTTTACTGTGTACAAGACTGACTAATAGCATGCAAGACTAGTTAGTTTCTGATTCTTATATACATAGATTGCAGTACAGGATGCAAAGAGAGGGTTTTATTGATGGACAGGAAACTGTATTGATGGTAATTCATCAGTATTTCTGCAGTCAGAAGCAGACATGGTTTCTATTTGTGATGCACTGTTTCCAAACTTGGGTAACTTCTGTACTATGCAGGGTGGATACTTTGGCCAAATCAGGAATACAAAAAAATCTTCTCAGAGATTGAAAGATGCATTACTGGACCATGATCTTGCCCTTCCACTGTGCCTGCTTATGGCTCAACAGAGAAATGGTGTGATCTTTCAAGAGGGAGGGGAAAAACATCTGAAGCTGGTGGGAAAACTGTATGATCAGGCAAGTAAAAACACTTGCATTTGTAAGAACCCCTCCTTTTCTGTGGTAACTTCTGGTGGTATTCTAGCACAATACGTAAGAATTCAGCACCATAAATAAGAATATATAAGAACTCAGTACCATAAACACAAATATATAAGACTTTTCAAAATGAGTTGCAGTGATCTCATTAAAATTATATGGGTGTATTATATATGTATTATATTGACAGGTGACTTCTGAGTGAAAGATTAAAATATGCTTTGTCATAAAATGTTAAGTTCTTGTATCTTAAGTTGGCTATTACGTTTTTCTGATCTTATTTTGTTAGAGGATCCTTCCTTTGCTTTTTTTAAGAAGCAGCCTGAATTCTTTTGCTGCCTTAGGCAGTAGGAACTAGTTTTATTTCTTTCTGGTAGAACAGAATGCTCTTGTAGTTCTGCTGACTCTTGTAGGGCTCTTTTTTTGGTGCAGACAGAGTTGAGTCAGCATTGAGTGACAGAAGTATGTGGTGTGGCATGGACAATTTAGCATCTCTGTTGCCCATGAGAAAATTCTTGCTGTACAATGTGTTAACTCTTTTTTTTTTTTCTTTAAAAAAAAGCTTTCAAGTTCTTCATAACTTCACTTTTGAACAAAATAATACTGTTTGCTAACTTCTTCTATCTTTCACATGTAGTGCCATGACACCCTCGTACAATTTGGCGGGTTTTTAGCGTCCAATCTAAGCACAGAGGATTACATTAAGCGAGTGCCTTCTATTGACGTTCTTTGTAATGAGTTTCACACACCTCACGATGCTGCGTTTTTCCTCTCGAGACCCATGTATGCACACCATATTTCAGTAAGTACAACTCTTCTGTTTGCCTGCTGTTAGTGCTGCTATATTACATGTTACCAACATATGTGTTAGGTTCCTGCTAAAGTTTGTTTGCTAAATAAAACTTGCAGAAGCTTTATGAGTAGAGGTAGAAAGAGAAGCTGTGGGCTGGAACAGGTTATCCTTTATCTTCATAGAAAATATGGCCCATGTGTCAGCTTTCACACAACTGACAGAAATTGTAGCTAATGAAGTAATCTCTTCTGATGATTTGGGTGATCAGTAGTTCTCTCCCTCCCTGTTCCACCAAATGAGTAAGTTCTTCTGTAGATGTTTTATATGGATTTTTACCGAGGAGGAAAATGTTGCAGCTGCCAAAAGGTGTGGTATCTCAGGAAGTGTCAGAAATAAATTTTTCCCTGCATCTAAAATGTTAAATATCAAGAGCAATTTTTATTTGGTGTAGTATAATGTGTTACTATAACAACAGGTAGAAGCATCAGTGAAGAAAGACAAACCCATCCAGTATGGATGAATACTAAAAATTCTGTACGATGTTCTGCAGTGCTTTATGACATTTCACATGTGTTAATGTTTGTTGTATAGAAAGGCTTCTGAGAAAAATTATATTGTAAAAGTTAAAGTATATTGTTTGTGTACAAAGATTACAAATTTCTCATTTTTCACTTTTTTTGTCCACAGTCAAAGTATGATGAACTAAAAAAAGCTGAGAAGGGAAATAAACAGCAGCACAAAGTTCACAAATACATTACATCGTGTGAGCTGGTGATGGCTCCTGTTCATGATGCTGTGATTTCTCTGCACCTTCCCAAGGTTTGGGATGACATCAGTCCTCAGTTTTATGCTACATTCTGGTCTTTGACAATGTATGACCTTGCCGTCCCACATAGTAGCTATGACCGAGAAGTCAATAAACTTAAAGTCCAGATGAAAGCCATAGATGACAATCAGGAAATGGTATGTTGATATAATTTTATGGTCCAGTTTAATCTTTCTAAACTTGAAAGACTTTTTAAATCTTACATTAAGATCATCTAGGTCTGGGAGGCTTTGTCACCTGATTCATCCATTCTGATTTGTCACATTCACATACTCTCCCTTATAATTCCTGTGTTAAAAGTACCAATGACTTCACTAAGTGAAAATTACTGGAAAATCTGTGTTTCAGAAAACAATCTGACACCTGTATCTGTGGCTTAGCTGTTCACTTTTGTCCTAGCGTTAGTCAGCCAGTGTTCATAAAATCAGTTGATTACTAGAGCAGAACATTATTTAGTGAAAAAGAAAGCTTTTCAAGTATTCTTGAGCATTACCAGGAATTAAATTGCTCTATCTATAGCAAGTGTTAGTATAATACTGAGTAAGTTGTGTTGACATTTTTAGCCTCCAAATAAAAAGAAAAAAGAAAAAGAACGTTGCACAGCTCTTCAGGACAAGCTCCTTGAAGAGGAGAAGAAGCAGCTGGAGCATGTGCAGAGGGTTCTGCAGAGACTGAAACTAGAGAAGGATAACTGGCTTCTGGCAAGTAAGTGTGTGTAGGGGAAACACTCTGGATGTTTTTGTAGTCATCACTGTCCCCAGAACTAAAAGTTCAATTTGCACTAATACTTTTAATGTTGGTTTTAAAAATTGATCTCTTTATATGTTGAGGTCTGTTAGCAAGGTAAACTTTTAATTAGAATGTAATGTGTCTTTGCTGCAAATGCCGAATAGTTGGGTTTCAGGGAGGTGTTTGTTTCTTGCAATGTCAAGACCTTTTAAATAGTGCACTAACTTAGAAAATAAATAAGAGATTGACCAATTCAATGGAAAGTTGTAATTGCAAGATGGCTTGCACTTATTTACTGCAGTTAGAATGCTGCTAAGTTAGGATAATTGCTACATTGCAAGAAATGGGCATGTAAACTCTCAATGAGTGGTTTGAGTTAACTTCGTTTGAGTCCTGTGATTAGGAGCAATGTGCCAGTATTTCGGCAGTAACATAAACCGTGTTCCAATGACAAGACAAGTATTGTGCCAGCCTAGCAGCACCACGAAATGAAACAGCATGCAAGTGTTTCATGTGGCAGATATGCAGGAGGCAGAACAAACTTCTCTTCTCTGGCAAAGCCTCTGTAATGTTTCATATTGATTGTGAACCCTACTAGTATGGTTAATCTGAAATGTTTTTCTCTGGTCAGTTTTCTTCTCTGGAAGAACTTCCAGTTTGTAACTGGAAGTAGTTGTTCGTCTGTCCCAAGGAGCCTAGCATAATCCAGTGGAAAAGCGTTTTATTGTCCGACTCATGTAAGACACACCCAACTGATTGAATGAAGAAACATTGACAGTTAAATCAAGAAAGGTTATTCCCTATAAATGCTTAATGTACTGGTACGGGTAGCGAATTAGCTACATGAAATTACTGATTGAAAAATTACTACTGATGACTGAAGCTTGGTCTAGAGCTGTCTGATAAATTTGTCTGCTTAAGGAAGCACCCAAAAGTATGAAGAAAATTGTTTGTGTAGATATGATCTGTATATAAACATGTGCTCTTAATACAGGCATTTGTGGGGTACAGGGAATAGCTTATTGTTGGCTCTTGAATGCTCAGGCTTCAGCTGCAAGAAGTTTCCCAGCATTGCATCCGGAGACAAACTTCACTTTTTCAGCAGTTTCCCCATTCAAAGAAATGATCTGTAATTGTGCTATATGAGGAAATTGAACAGCACATCCACTATAGTAGTATTTTTTATTATTTTTAAAAATTACTTTTTTTTTTTCTTTTTTAAAAGACTCGCTTCTAGTGTAGATACTTTTGATAGAGGGGTTACATCACTAAGAGTAGGTTAACTTTTGGCAGAATAAGTAGACTGGTAGTTTTAACAGAAACTAGCTATTCTGACTGGCTGCTTACTCCCTTTACTGTTATACTTTTGAAGTAAAACTTACTCGTGATTGTTCTGAGCTGTGATTCCCTTTTTTTTTTTGTTTTGTCAAAGGCTTGTTATAACCTCTGAGGGATAGATACTAAAATGAAATAAAAATCAATATAAAATTTTTAGTTAAATAAAAGCTGCCAGTCCTTTCTTGAAGAAGCTTTATTCCATGAGTATCACAGAATTGACGCAAGTTAATCCTGGGTCTTATGACTTGTATACTGCAGCCTGTGCAAGAGTCCCAGTGCAAAACCACCAGTTGCCCTCATGAGGATCATGACTGTTCTTCCTCTGAAGGCATCTGTTTGCAGTCTTCAGTTCTGTTCTTTCATCCATATGTTTATTTTTCTACCTTCCTTTTGTGCTATACATCCCTCACATCTTCTTGACTGAGCAAGAGCTGCCATGGGACCAGTTTGGGTGTGTGTTCAGCTGTTGTGTTGACCAACCAGTGGTTGGTCAAACGGAATGGGTAACTGTTGAGCATGCAGTGCAGTCTTTACTCAGTGGTAGAATGAAACTTTCACAAAATGTGTGTGTATTGGGGTGGTGGTTTACCGAATACTGTTCCTCTATTTAAATGCTGTAATTGTTTCGTTGATTGAAAAAATTATTCTTAAGGGGTTGTACACAAACAGCATGTTCTTCCATTTCTAAGGAAACTGAGCTGAAAGCCCCATCTAGAAAGGAGAAAACAAGTATTGTAGAGAAATAGCAGATGGTGTTCCTTTTGCTAATGTGCAGAATTTGAGCAGTTGGAGAAGTTTACCAAAGTTTTTTCTGAGCCTGTTTTTTTCCCCCCATTGTGTAGTAGAAGAATTTTCGCAGTAAGAAATAGATTTGCTACAACCGCCCTCCTATCCTCTTCCCCATCCTCAAACAGTTAAGCTTATTTTGGCTTTTTCTGAGCAGTGCCAAAGATGTGTCTGGAATACAAGTGGCCTAACATACAAACTGGACAATTGTGGATGTGTGATACTGAACTTCTTGGGGAGAGAATAGTTGAGTGTTAACCCATTAACTTTCTTTCTTCCTTTTTTTCTCTCAACTTTGTTTTTGAAGAGTCTACCAAAAATGAGACTATCACAAAATTTTTGCAGTTATGTATATTTCCTCGATGCATTTTTTCGGCAATCGATGCGGTTTATTGTGCTCACTTTGTAGAACTGGTGCATCAGCAGAAAACACCCAACTTCTCCACACTTCTCTGCTATGACAGAGTAAGTAGCTAGAATTGTGTGTGTGTACTCAATTACTATTATGAGCATGTGTAGTATCCACTAGTATCCACCCTGCCACCCAAAAGAGGTAAGCAAAATCATTACCTATGTTTAATTCTAGGATCTGTGACAATCAAAAGTTCCGCTTTGTACTTCAGATTCTAGAAACCAAGTTTTCCTAGCGCTTCAGGGGTTTATTTTCAAGAAATTTCACTTTTGATTTATCCTAATAAGACTAGGGTTGTAGAGCAAAGTCATTAGCAGTCATAAGAGTTGCATTCAGGTTTTGAAACCTTCCAGTGGTCTGCATTTCTCAGCTAACCCTCCCATTTTAGCTGTGTGCCCCCTACTATGTAGTACCAGCTTTCTTATACTTGCCCCCCACAAGCAGCATCTTTAGGACCCTTCTGACCCTGGTGAATGGTATTACCAACAGTGGACTAATTTGTATCACTGCTGAGACATGGGAAGGGCCTCCCACAGTGACATGGGGAGTATTTTGATAGCAGTAGCAGCCTGACTTTCTGGGTAAAACGGGGCAGCTGGAGTAGGCATTTGTTCAGGCTGTTCTCACGGTTGATATATCCTTTCTTTTTCTCCTGGGGAGGAAAAAGGTGGAGAATGTAGATGGAAGAATCTTGCAGGATGCATTCAGCTCTAACAGTACCAGCTGACTGTACTGTTCTGGGGTATCGGAACCATTCTGGCACTTACTGCTATAAGAAGTGAAATTATTAAGTTAGTGTATCATCTGTACAGCTATAACAGATTTGACTGGGAGCTTTGATTAAAAGGATGTGTGTGGGGCTGTATTGTAAAAAAAATTATGGTGGAGATTGAATGTTCATATGAAAACAATTAACATTGTCTGGTTTCCTTTGCGATGAGACATTTGAAGTAGGTATCTGCTTTAATTTCATGGGTCCAAAAGAGCATTCTTAGTGAAATATTCGGTCCATGTTCTAGGTGACAAAAGTAGGCCACTGCATGAGCCCTCTCTTATGAACCTGTGAAGGCCAGGAAAAAAATCCTTTTGCATCAGCTTGGCTAGTAGATGTTTAATTCTACCTGATCAAATAGATTATTAATTTGAAAACAAAACAGTTACATGCCAGTGAAGACACACTTTAACTATGGAAAACTGTGTGTCAGCAGCAGCTATATGCAGTGCTTAGATTCTGGGCTAAGTGTGAAGGACCAGCAGTTGGATAATAAAGTCTTGAAAACAAACTGAGAATATTTTATAAGAGATCTCCTTTACATTTAGAAAGCAACTTAACAGTGATTTAGATGAGAGAAATTTGAAATTCTTATTGGTTCTTGTTCCTTTTGTAATTGAGTAAAGTCATTGTAACTTTTTGTTACTGCTTTTCACAGGTTTTCTCTGATATTATATATACAGTTGCAAGTTGCACTGAAAATGAAGCTAGTAGATATGGCAGGTTTTTATGCTGTATGCTAGAGACTGTGACTAGATGGCACAGCGACAGAGTCATATATGAAAAGGTATGTGAAGTTATTAAAACAAGTTCGCTCTTGAGAATATGTAATGGCCACTTGTGTAATTCAGCCCAATAAAAATGGATTTAGTGACATCGTTAGTTAGATTTAAAAACACTGATTGAATTTGTCTGATGGCATAATCTTAGAATTGAGTTTCTGTTAATTCATGTAGTTTTAATAGAAGTAATATTGTATAGTGTCAAAATACAGTAGCTAAAAAAAATACATTTCTGATTTTCTCATAGCTTGTCTTGAAGATAATTTAGGGAGCATGTGGAAACTCATAATACTCCTTGCAAAAGCTAGTTAAATTATGAATAATCTTTTCTCTCGCCTACAACTAAGATTCAACATAAACAAGATCTTTTAAAAAAGTTTGTGTGTAAGTCTTGTAAAGTGTGGTCATGTCTTAGTCTTTAGCAGAATCAGTGGAAAAAGTGCTTCAGTTATCATACTAACTTTTGCAGAATTACTGTTTTTATGTTTCCAAAAAATATTTATTTCTTCTACGCACATGTAGGAATGTGGCAACTATCCAGGCTTCCTAACTATATTACGGGCAACTGGATTTGATGGTGGAAATAAAGCTGATCAATTGGATTATGAGAATTTTAGACATGTGGTACACAAATGGCACTATAAGTTAACTAAGGTAAATAAAGATGCTAAACAAGTTAGTTTTTTGAAAGCTTTGATTAAAAAACCCAACTTCATGAGATCTCATTTGTGTTCTAGGCTTCTGTGCACTGCCTTGAAACAGGTGAATATACACATATCAGAAATATCCTGATTGTGCTGACCAAAATCCTTCCATGGTATCCAAAAGTGCTGAATCTGGGCCAAGCCTTGGAAAGAAGAGTACATAAGATATGTCAGGAAGAGAAAGAGAAGAGACCTGATCTATATGCATTGGCTATGGGGTAACAACATCTTACTTTAAGAAAGTGGTTAAAAGTGGATCATGAAAGGCTTCTAAAGACTTGGAACTGTTACAGTCCTAACATTTGATTTGTACCTTATCACAGAAGATTTTGCTATCCTGCATCTCAGGGCTGGCAGTGTGAATGAAAACTTTCATTTTGTGCTGGGTGATCACTAATTTCCTTTACAAGACTCTAGTAAAACCTTTAAAATAGTAAAGACTTCCACTCCCAAGAGCATAGCTCAATTTTAGAGAAATACTGTAACAGCAAGTAGATAGGAGGGAGAGTAAAATGAAGCAAGCCAAAGGCTATTGATGCAAGACTGCTTAGATTTTGGACGTTTATATGATACTAAAATGCTTAGTCATGTTTTACATCTTTGCACTCATCATAGAGCCATCCATGTATGCTTGAGGGGCGATTCAGGTTGCCCTAACAGTTGTAAGGTTTGTCGGTAGGCTGTTTTTTCTGTGTGTTTGGCAGGTGTGTGTATGCGTGGTGGTGGTGAAGAGGGTGTGGAGGTAGGGCTTCTTCTGTGTCTAGTGGGTTTTTTGTTTGTTTTGTTGTTTTTCTTTTTGAGCTCATCGATAAAGGGGAAAGAAGCTGCGTATCAGTTGGGAAAAACTGAAATAAATAACAGATGAACTGTTAGATTAGATCCTCATTTAAAATTCAACCCATGTTTTGCTTTATGTTTGTGCATATTTAACAATCTGTGCGACTTGCAGCTATTCTGGGCAGTTGAAAAGTAGGAAGCCTTTCATGATACCTGAAAATGAATTCCACCACAAAGACCCACCTGCCAGGAATGCTGTAGCTGCAACAGTACAAAATGGGCCAGGTGGTGCTGGGATGCCTACATCTCTCACAATAAATACAGTTAGACTGGAAGAAGGCACTACTGAGGAGACTGGTAAACAAACCTATAATTACTATTTATTTTTAGTAGAATTCTTCTGCAGTTACAGGCTACTCTCTCAAAATTTGGCTCATTAAACTGGAAAAAAAAATTAAATAGGGTCACTGTGTGTTCTTTGTTATTAGTTGGTTTTGGGAGAGGGTGTTCTGCATTTAATTACCTGTTTTAACTGTTAGCTACACATGATCTTACATGAATATGCTTAGGTACTTATTTGAACCAGTAGGATGTATATTAACGTGTTGAAATAAAGCTGGTTTTTTTTTTTTAAAACAGATAAACTGAAGGAGAAGTCTCAGGGTGTGGTGAAAGTTATTAATAAAGCTGTCAATGCTACACCGAAGGTGACAACGAGCAATGGAAACAGTGCTTCTAATAGGTGAGGAAAAAAAATCTACTCTTCAACATTCTCTATTTTCTTCCTTCCAAACCCTAGAATTATACTTGAAACTGACCTGTCTTGTCTTTGTTAGTTTCAGGTTCCATATAAATTGTTCCCATTTCTTCAAAGTTTAATAAATGAGATTATTTCTTCCAAAATGCACAGCTGTACTGATCTGACACTGTTGTTAAATGCATTCCATTTTAGCTAAATAAAGATAAAACAAATGAGAGCATTTGCTTGTTGCTGTCCCGATAGAGCCAGCAAATCTGAAAACTGACAGTGACTGCTTCAGGAGGTTCTATTAAACCATCAGAAGTAAAGCTTTTGTGCTAAAACTAGAGCTGGTTTTATATGCATGTTAATTGGTCTTTTTATTTTTGATGCAGCAAAATTATTAAAGAGAAAGATGATAAAGAAAAAAGTGGGAAGGAAAAAGATAAAGAAAAAAAAGACAAGACTCCAGCTGCAACTCCAGAGATGAAGGCACTTGGGAAGGATGGGAAAGATAAACCAAAGGAAGAACGGGCAAACAAAGATGATAAAGCAAGAGAGATCAAGGAGAAAACTCCAAAATCTGACAAAGAGAAGGAAAAAGTCAAGAAAGAAGAAAAAGCTTCAAAAGAAGAAAAATCCAAGACAGTTGTTACCATCGTTGAGTCAAAGTCAACTGCAGAAAAGGAGAGAGAAAAGGAGCCATCCAGAGAAAGAGATGTAGCGAAGGAAATGAAATCCAAGGAAAATGCTAAAGGAGGAGAAAAGATGCCAGTAGCTGGGTCCTTGAAGTCCCCTGTTCCCCGATCAGAAACATCAGAATCTGAAAGGGGTAAGTTTGCATATTTAATTTCTGTTCTTGTCTAGGAAAACAGAATGTGTTGCTGGAAAATCACTGGATGTCAAAAAATGCTAGAGATGGTGAGAAAGAATTGCTACATAATAGCTAGCATTTTGGCATTGGCTTTTAAATACAGTTAGCACCTAAAGTAGGTGGTTGGGATATCTCCAAAAGGCAAACTGTTTGAATGTGTGAACTTCACGTATCTTCAGTGAATGCTCGTTTTCATAAAGGCTATAATTTTTTAGTATAAGTCTAAATGGTCTTTTATTAAAATGTGTAACTGTGACCTTGCAAGTTTTGCAAAAATTTAACGCAAAAACCTCAAGAGCATACTCTTGAGTTTCATCGTAACCTTTGAATTGAAAGGAAACGGGATGTTGAAGATGTAGGCCTTTGTGTGCTTAAGGACTACACAATAAGCTTTATCAGTTCCTTCTTATATTATGGGTTAACAAATCCTTCATGTTGATATCTTAAGTTCTTATAATCTGAGGCTGATGAGTTTTATACTTGCACTGCTTAAAGCAAACCAAGTAAAGGAGGGTTGTAATGCTTTTCATTGGGTTCACCTTTTCAGGGTCTTCATAGCAACTCTGAAATTCAGATACAGACTTAGATAAAATGGAAGTTAGAAAGGAGCATAATTTTGGAGCATTTTGTTCACATTACCCTTTTCCTGTAAACTTTCATAAAAAGGGTCAAAGCATGCTGGTAGCTCTAGATAGCTTAAGAAAAACAAAATTTACCTAGTGGTAAAACTTGAATTCTATCTTAAATTATTTTGGTAGTTCAGAAAGCCGTATTACTAGATTATCCTCTTCTAAATGTTTTTTAAATAATGCTATTGTTCTTTTCTTTCCTCAGAACAAAAACGCCGCAAAGTTGATACACATTCTTCTCCGTCACATTCCTCAACAGTAAAGGTTAGTATAGCCTGAGGAAGGCAGCACCCATGTTAGGCTCACAAGTTTGGGATGCCAATGTTCGACTTCCTTCAAGTTTTGTGCCAAGTATACACTGGAACCACTGGAGGTTTTATGTTGCATTAGAAAATGCATTCCTTTTCTTTATTGGCGGACTGTCTTTTTTTCTATAAAAATATTTTTAATTAACCAAAGTAATGCTTCAAGGACCTAGCACAAATTTTGTAAATAGTGTTTGGAAATGGCAAGAGAATTTTTACACAGAAGTGCCTCATTGTTTTAAGCAGTCAGTTTTTTTGGAGTGCAATGGTAGCTACAAGCAAATGAGTCTTTCCAGCAGAGTGGAGCATATTTTTCTGCACTTCTATTGAAGAATCTATAGCACTGAAGATTCCTGGATGATACGGGATGTACGATACCTCTGAATTCATCAGGCTTCTTGATGAGCATCATACCGATATGTGCCTTCTAAGGAGGAGTCTTGAAAGGAGTTCCATTTTAAAGTCTCCTTGGTGATCAGTTCTCCTGTAGTTGTGTATATTCAGTGCGCATGCAGCTTCTGTTGTACCTTCCCTTCGAGGTTTGTTTATTTCCAATGGGTTCCCACCATGTTGAGCCCTGCGTTACGATAAAACCAGATGTGGCAACCAAGCCTACTACCCAGCAAAGAGAAACCCCAAGCATTCAAGCGCAGCACAAAACCATGGGCGTAGCCTACTTGAAGACTCAGGGTAGCCATTCCTTGCTCCATATTTATTTTATTTCTAAACCATCTATGTTCATGGAATCTTTGAATTTGCAGTACGTTGAACATTTAAAACTGTAAGTTACTAATACTTCATCAAGAGCACTGTGATGGATTATGTGGGCCTTTAAACTTCACCATCTTACCAACTTTAGAACAAGCTTTTCCATCTTACCAACAAGCTTTTCTTTTTTTCTGGTTTTTCAAAGAGTACCTCTTTTTGTATGTAAGATTTACTTGAAAGATTTAGGCTAACTTTGGAGAACTTAAATAGCTGTTACTAGTTTTGAGGAAGCAGGTGACAGTGATAACTACTCAAAATGACAAAGTTTTTCATGCCTGTTTTTTGTAAATGGCAATGTAAAGTCATTCTAGAGTGACTTCTACCACATTTAACTGAAAGTGGAGAAGATACAGGTTTAAAAACATTTCAAACCTGTTTCACCTGTGGTTCAGCTGTATTTAGAGTTAAGACTTTTTTTTCTTTATATTTTGTCTTGGCGGGAGAGTGTTTTTTCCACTGTTTTATGAAGAATTAGATATAAGCACATTTTGTAGTTTACTTAATAATTGGGTCTAGAGAATAGTTATGACTGTCTCTTTTTTTTTTCCTCCTTCTTTCTTTTTAAAAAATATTTCAGTTCCCAGCTTTATTCAGTGTACAGTATTAACATAAGATTTATTCCAGAAGGAGTAGCTGCTTTTTGTTTCAAGGGTATGGCCATGCTTCCCAAAGTTCCTCTGGTTTCTGAAAACTATTCCAGCTTACGTGTCATCTCCATTCATTTTCTACAGGACAACCTCAACGAACTCAAGGACTCTTCAGCAAAGGTTTGAATCTTTTAGACACCACCAAAGTTTACTTTCATGTTTTGTTGCGGAGAGAACTTAACTTTTGGTCTTGTGACAAACCCCATCAGACAATTCAAATTCCATTACTGTAAATGCTAGTGTAGTAACAGAGGGATTTTTTCAGTCTGCTATAGAGAACCTCTGTACAGGCAAGAGGGATAGCAACATAATGAAAATCCCCTGAATCTACCATTCTGTCAATATTTTTAAGAGATTTTACGGGTCAGTATCTTTTCTGGTCCTCTCTGAAACTTGTAAATTTATAGAAATGTCCTTATGATTAAGCCAGTTATTTAGCTGAAGAGGTAATACAATAGTTAAAATAGTTCTTAGAATAGTTAGTTCTTTTGTGATACCACTTAAAAATAGTAGATATTTAAAACAAAAAATATTTGAAACATCTCTGGAACATCAGTATTCTTTCCCCTTACTGCTGTTGTATTCATATTTTAGTGCTATTGTACTATATTTCTAAGCATCACAGACAACCACCTAAATGATCGGTTTTGTGAGTTTGCCTCCTGTAAACGCACTTCAGATTCAGTGCCTTATGAGAATGTATGCTAAAGAATGCTTTCAAGAGTTCATAGAATCATAGAATACCAGGTTGGAAGGGACCTTGAAGTCCAACATTTCTTGGCAAAAGCACAGTCTAGACAAGATGGCCCAGCACCCTGTCCAGCCAAATCTTAACAGTGTCCAGTGTTGGGGAATCCACCGCTTCCTTGGGGAGATAATTCCCATGGCTGATTGGTCTCATTGTTGAAAATTTTCCAATCAGAATCTCCCCAGGAGTAACTTGTACCTATTACCCCATGTCTTTTCCATGTGACTCCTTGTAAAAAGGGAGTCTCCATCTTCTTTGTAGCCACCCTTTAAACACTGGACCATGGTGATAAGGTCTCCCCTAAGCCGCCCGTTCTCAAGGCTGTACAGACCCAGTTCTCTCAGCCTTTCCTCCTGTGCCAGGCTTCCCCATCCTTTGTGGCCCTTCTCGGGACCCTCTCCAGCCTGTCTGCATCTTTTTTATATAGCAGGGACCAAAACTGAACACAGTGTTCCAGGTGTGGCCTTACAAGCACTGAGTTGAGTGAGATATGAGTGGAATGATTTTGTGGAATATTGTGTTTTAGACAGATTCTGCTTGTTGCTTTTTTTTTTAAACTCAACCACTTGCATAGTAACAGTCACAACTACTGTAAACTTGCTCATACATTTAGGGTATGTAGCTAATAAGAAATGGATCAAATCTTCTAAAGTTGCTATTAAGATTTTTTTTGATTACGCAGTCGGTATCAGTGTGTACCTAAATAGCACAAATATTTATTGCTTGGAAAATGCTGACCATTTGGATTTTCTGGATAACTTATGGGTTTAGCTAGGTTTACTTATATTCACTTAAAAACGCATAATGGATTATCACTTCCTATTCTATATTTACACTGCTGTTTTACTTGTAGCTCTTCTTGTTTATACGAAGTGTTCAGAACACTTTGTATGTTTTAATTCAAAATAGCTCTGATTTTATAATGGACACTTGCTGATGGGTTTTTAATTGAATCTTTCCAGTACCAAACATACCTATTTACAGGGAGAGTGTATATAGGAAGCATCCTTTGATTCTTACAATTGATGAAATTACAGTGTCTATAGATTGAATCCATATACTTTCAAAAAAATGACATATCATTGTCATGATATCTTGTATATTTAAGTTTTTTGAAATTAGAAAACTATAATATTTGTCTTGAGCTCACATCTGTCTGAAGTGTGGTATATGGTAGTCCATATAACCTCACTTTTCCCTCCCTTACTGTATTAGTCAAGGTTCAGCTGGTTAATTGAAACTTCACTCAAGTTTTCATTAGTAAAGCTAAATTTTTATTTAAAATTCTTTATTTTACTTATTAATGCATTGATGTGGTAATCAAGCAGACAGTGGAGCTATTGTAATGAAATGATCAACGAACAGCTCTATTTTTCTAGTCAATTTGAAAAGTTAAATTTTAGAATTAACTATGATGTGTTTGTGTAGACTTAGCTGGAAGTGTATTGCAGTCATGTGACTTTCATGGATTTATCAGTTTAAGTGCTCGGGGGATGGGGGTTGTCCAACCCTTTTCTTTCCTCTTCTAAATGCTGCTTTCTGTTCTTTCTCACTTAATGAACTAATTTTCATTCTTTAGTGCCATTCTAACAGACCTAAGGCACTTCTTGACAATGTTCTCTATACATGGTGTAAGACGAGTTAAATGCTCTTCTTTACTGCCACGTACTTGTTTGGGGAAAGGATGGGGTATTCAGAAGCCTGTAAAACTTATGAGTTCAGCTTCCACGGAAAGTTAGTAGAAGTCTATTGCTGTTGTATGCTTACAGGCTTTCTTTATTCCTGATTTTGCCCAATTTCTGGGGCCAGACCATTGAAATATTGGTTTACATTGCAGGTTATAAAATAAATGGTGCCAGACTTGAGTTAGGTTTGTGTTTATTCTTGCTTTGGCCTTTGCCCAAGTTACACAACATGCAACAGTGCCCAATATTTGATGTGGTTTTAGTTAGCTGCATTTCTAGAAGCAAGCTGATAAAGCCTGATGAGCTAAATCCAGCCTTTTCTTGTGAAGCGGGGTGGGAGAGATGCAGTTTTCCAAAACTCTGCATTGGGATGGTAGAAGAGCAGCAGATTCTGTCGTGAATAACCGTGTGAACTTAAGAAATGGAGTAGGAGAAAGCAGAACTACGTGTTTGCTTTCTCACATGGAAAGCATCTCTGGAAGACAGCTGAATGGGGCTGTGTAGAAAAAACATATTTGCAAGTCACTTAAAAGTTGACAGCAAAAAAGGAAGCAAGGATAAATTTACTTGTGGAATGGCAATGTAGGAAATGGAACAAGAAAAGAGGAGTGAGGGAAAAGAGCAGAAAGAAAAGTATCCAGTGAAAGGAGTATTGAAGGTTCAGTCTCTGGTGTAGGAGGACAATAAAATTCCAGTTCAGTAATAAAAGCAAGAGACACCTAACATTGTCTCAGTGTGCCTTTTAACATAGGACCAGTAACATTGGTAAGTTAAACATTTACCGGAACTGGAGAAGGACAGGATTAATTTAACTAAAAGAATAAAATTATTTGAAACAATATTTGGTTTGGTTCAAGTGATTTCTAGATTGTTCTAAACTAATCTTCCACTTACCTCTTTCTTTGGTGTCCTTTTAAGTTGTCTCTCTAAAAAGAAATACAGAGAACATTTAAATGAAAAGATTTTTTTTCCAAGTAAAATTGATAGTTTATGAAACTGGGGAAAGATTATACAGATTTAAATCTGTGTGTTGCTGTAACTTAAATATAGAAAATACCAAGGAAAGGTGTTTTTAATTTAAAATGTGCTCTTATTGGTATTTTATGAAAAATATTTCTTAGAAAGATCCAACTATATATCTGTATTTAAAAAGACAGAATTAGTTCCTGTAACGCATTGGTATTTATATAATACATGTGCTACCTTATATATACACACACGGTAGCATTTAAACTTTGTCAAGTGTTATACTTGATGTTACTTTGACTTATTTTCTGTTCTTCTCCCCTGCGACCCCAGTTTATGTTGAAAATATTCAGCTTTGTGAAACTAGTATGTTTTACAGAGTTTATCAAAAGTGGTTAGAAGAGAGAATGGAATAACAATCTAGAACACATTATAGAGCAAAACTAATCCTTTTCTGTGTTCAGCTGCTTTCATCATTTGAAATTTAGGCTTAAGGTGGAGTTTTGAATTACTTTAGATGAAAAAACACATTATTCAAAGTATTGGCTTAAATAGTTTTAAATAGATTAAGATTATTCTTTAAAAAATCAATTAGAACCTGTTTAAGCAGCTGATTCCATTCATTCATTCCAGGCAAGATTGCAGGTGTTAAGTCAGTCCAGAAATCTGCGTATCCTGTTTCAACAGTACTGCTGTCTGGTTTGTTTTGATGTATCAAACAATACTGGTAAACAATGTTGTGTGTATTTAAAGTGTTTCAGTTAAGAGAAAGTGTTCTTGAATTTCCAGTGTTGAGAAAACAAAGCTGTAGGTTAAGATATAGATGACAAGTTTGAAAGTGTCTTCAATCACATTTTTGCTAGTAAACTATTAATGTTTAATTTTGCTCTTTGAGCTAGATCTGTTATGTTAGAGTAAGACTTTTTGTTTACACATCTAGGAATACATATTAATATTTGGTGATATTGCCTTAATTTAACAGCACTACATTAACCATACTACTCCAACACTGTCCAAGAGTAAGGAGAGAGAAGTGGACAAGAAAGATTTGGACAAGTCAAGGGAAAGATCCAGAGAGAGAGAGAAGAAAGATGAAAAGGACAGGAAAGATCGAAAAAGGGTTGGTGAAATTTTTATGAACTAGTTTAGAAAGTTGGTAAATAATTGGAAAGCTTTCTGTTCAAAGTCCTTGCAGTAATAATTGGTTGTACAGCCTGTCCAAGCAGAAGTGATCCATATCAGGGTTGTTTATCTTCTGTTCTGTTACTTTTTCAAAGGTCGGTTTACAGTAATGAAAAACTTCTCCCTTCAAAGCCGATCTCAAAAAAGCTTTAAACGAGATGTGATAACTCAGTTACATTTTAAGTATTCAACAATTAGTTCTCCAAAATAACGTTGTAAGCAGGTGCTACTTCAGGAGTATGTTTTAATCTGCTAACATCTGCACAATTGTATTTGGTGCCAGGATCATTCAAACAGTGACCGAGAGGTACCACAGGATTCAACTAAGCGACGCAAAGAGGAAAATGGGACAAGTACGTATTTTATTTTGTGTGTGTGTATTAGGCTTTTACTTGTTGTGAATTATAACTTTCTGTTGTGTTTTTAGCTGGTTCTTCAAAACATAGTAAAAGTGAAAGTCCTTCTGATTCCCCTCGCTTAAATGAAAAGGAGAAGGAGAAGAACAAATCAAAATCTTCAGGAAAAGAGAAAAGTGATTCAATTAAAGCAGAAAAGATGGAGAAGAGCTCCTCTGGTAGCAAAAAGGTAAAATAAGCTATTCTCATTTTCTTTTTTTTTTTTTTTTTTTGGTTGTTGCTGTTGACAGAACAAGGTGATTCTTTTTTTTCCTAAATTTTATTGCTGCTCTATGGCCTAAATTGAAAAGATATGCTGTGAATGTATAGGAAAACACTTCTGGAAATTCTGGTGTCTTGTGGCTCTAAATATTTTAGCAGTCACTCCTGGCAGGATAAATTGGAGGAATAGTTCATTTTAGCAGTAGCCAGGAAAATTCAGAAATTATTCTACATTATTCAAAACCTAAAAAATATTTGCAGACTGGTTTGAACAAATGTGTGAAAGCAGGATTCATTTACATATAAATAGTGTGCTTGTATTCAGATTTTTAAGTGCATGTGTCAGCACAGCTTTTTTTTTGTGAAAACAGGTAAGTATGTTGTAGTCATATTTGTAAAACACCAAACAGTTGTTCCCAGTTGTTGTAACTCTTTAGTGATATCAGTTATCATAGAACTGTAAGACAAAGTTAGAATAATCTCAGAAATCATAGAAGCTGATTACTGTCATTCTGACTGAATTTTTTTAGCTGTGGCAAGTTATAACTTGATGTATAATTCTTCTAATCAGACTGTACAATATATTCTATAATAACTGTTTCATGTGTATTTTTTAAAGGAATCAAGACATGATAAAGAAAAAACAGAAAAGAAAGAAAAACGAGACAGTACTGGAGGGAAAGAAGAAAAGAAACAATATCCTTTTACACATTAACATTTCAGAAAAATACAGAAAATAAGCTTCCTTTTATGTAGTAAAATATATTTTTTTCCTTAACGTTGAATCTACTCATAAATCTTCAGACAAGCACAGATAATGAAGTTTGTTCCAGTCAAGGTAAAAACTTTTATGATTTACTCTGACTTGATACCTCCTGTGGCTCCTTTTCACTGGTTCACAAACAAAACAGCCTGAGTGTGAAAGGGCTGAAATTACCCAGGGTGGGTTTTCAGTTGTTTTGGGGGGATTTTTTTGGGGGTGGTTGGGTTTTTTTTGTTTAGTTTTGGTTTTTTGGTTGGTTTGTTTTTTTTTAATCCTATCCCAGTGAAAAAAAAATTCCCCATCATCAGCACAGAGATTTTTATAGATGCTCAAATTCTTTTGGCCAAAAGGAAAAGAAAAAAAAAAAAAAAAAAACAACAAAACAAAACAGGGTGGGATGGGGGGGTCAGCAGTGTTTGGTGTAGTTGCATGTTTGGCACTTTCTCCAAGAAATGTTGCTATACAAAATAGAGGTGAATCCATGTGATCCTGATAGTCATCAGTTCTGATAATCTACCTGTTAATTAAGAATATGCTGTCTAATATGTTGGAAATTCAAGTTTTGTATTGTCATCTTATTTTATCTTTAACAAAAGCACTAGCTTTTAAACCAAATTGCTATATAGTGTAGTAAGTCAGTTCATTATCTCTGCTTAATCTTTTATCTGATCAGATTTGAGGAGGAAGAAACCAAAGGAAAACTTTCGCATGGAGGCATTGACTATTTGCAGAAAGAAAAGAAACTTCAGAGTATTTTGAGTAACCCATATTGAGACTGGAGCTTTTTAGAAAAATAAATTGGTTTTTTTTGAAGTTGACAGTGTTCTGAACTTTTTTTTTCCCCCAGACCTATGCAAATATGTGGAGAGTTAATGAGGGTGGGTTTTTTCTCCTCTTTGCATCTAGCCATTTTAAGAGTCTTGGAATGTTTCATTTTCAGTTATTTGAGAAGGAAAGGCAAGTGCCCCAGTGAACTTAAAATTAATTCACCTGACCTACTCAACTGGAGTCACACCAATCTTTCTACATAATGCAGTGGACAATTTTACACTTTAAAAAGTGTGTATATGTTGGGTAGACATGAAAATAACTGATAGTATTCAACAAATATCAAAGAACATAGCTTTTCTCTCTTCACAAATTGTCCAAGTGCTTTATAATTCTTATGTTTGTTCTCTATTTAGAATTGATGAATTGTTTCTGTGAAAACTTTGTAGATTCTGTGAGCACTCAAAGTGAACACAAGCAGAAATGAAAATTTTTTTATTCAGTCACAAATTTTTCACAGTTTGAGATTATTTGTTTTCATAGAGTAATACTGTTCTGACTACTGAACACCATATAAGGCAGGGAGAGTTTTCCTTTTTATCAGACAAACCGATACTGTTACAGAGAGGGGGAAGACAACATTTTTAAATGCACAAGTCCTCCTTTGTCTTAAATTTTGAAGAAGGATTGATGAGGCTGAAAATTTGTCCTGTTTTCGTGACTGTCTTGTTTGGTCTAGAAAGTGATGCTACCTTTCACCAACATGATTTGTTGTGAATTCCATATAAAGATCTGGGGGAGGGAATCTTTTTACTGTGAGGGTGGTCAAAAACTACAACAGTTTGCCCGGAGAGGTGGCGGAGCTGCCGTCCTTAGGGTATCAAAACCTAAGTTGGCAGGCCACAGCCCTGACCAACCTGCTCTAGTTAATGCTGCTTTTTGAGCAAGGGTGGTGGACTGGACAGTCTTCAGAGGTCCCTTCCAACCTCATTGCTTTTGAAATTAAATTATATGGGTATCATGTTTGAGAATACTTAAGGTGATATTATATGGCAAAACTTAGTGGAGAGATTTATTGGCTATGGACTCTCAAATTAACATTGCTCCTTGTAGTGGCTGTACTTGCTTTAGGTGTCAGAGAAAGACCATGACACGTGGTCTTCTCTTTTGCCTCTGTCTAACTAAAACAACAGAGGCCAAATCTGAAAGGTGTAAATGCTTTGCTATTGGGAATTCTTTTCCAAGAGGCCTAAGAATTATAGGATGGCTTATATAACACTTGCAGAGGAGTGTTTTGATGAGGGTCCAACAAAACAAAACAAAACAAAAATTTGAATTCTGAAATCTTCTGATCATTTGGGAAATGTCTTCTAAAAAACATCTCCACACGTGGATTGTGGCCTCATAGAGCAAAGGGGGGATTATTGGGGGGGGAGATGGAGGGCAGGGGGATGGGGGGGGGGGGGGGAAGGGAAAAAGGGTCTTGAGTTTCATTTGGTGACATTTCTTGATCAGGCACTGAAGCTGAGGGCAAATTGTGGAGGGGTTTTGGGTAACAAAGCTCCTGCTGATACTGTGTGCTCTTGGAGTGTGTTGGTAGAAAAAAGGATAGGAGGTCAGGTTATTGCTGCTTAGTACCATTTCTCTTTAGTTTATCTTCTTGAAATAATAGAAGATGTTTCTGTGAATAGCTTTCAAACTGAAAAATATGACCACTCTTTGGAAAGAATTTAATGGAATTTTTTGACTCTTTGTTCTTCATAGCCATTATTTTCTGATCACTGTGGGTGAATCCCCCCCCCCTTTTTTTTTTTTCCATTTCTTTAAATGTTACTTTTTGGGGGGAAAAAAGCAATCTTGGTAGATGAAGTTCACTACTCAGGACTTGCAGCTGCTTTAATAATAAAATGTGAAGTTTTATCTTGACTGGCAATTCAATATAAAGTGAGGATTGTCATCAATTGAAAAAGCACAACTGTGTGTGTATGACTGCATCATGATTTAAGCAACAAGTGCTTAGGTAAATGCCAGTTGCACAGTAAAACTCACATCCAGCTATGTAATGGGCTAAACTGGAGCATCTGGCCTAGAATACTGGCAACATGCCATCGTTGGTGTAGTGAAGTATGAAAAAATGCCTTTTATAGCAACATGGTTGTGGAATGTCATCCTGTGCTCCTGTTAAATCTTTTATAACATTCTTCCTAATGTGTAATGTCTGATTGACTGCATTTATTTCTTGCCTAATTCAGAGAGTAACATTTTGAGAAGGTTGTACTTCTAAAAGAGGTTTTTACCTTCACAAGTGACTACTTGTTTCTTATTTGTATCTTCAGATTAGTGTTTCACTACTTACAGTGCAGTGCTCACATTAATATAGTTCTTGCTGTGGATTAAACTAGAGTTGGGGAATGGATGACTGATGAAAGTAGTTTTATTCCCCCTCCCATTTTTAGCATTTTATTCCATTCACAATTCAGAGATCAGTATTCATTTGAACAAGATCTGATTCCAATTATGTATGCCTTTGTTGCAGGTGAGATTGAAATGAGAAGATATCCAGCTGTGACCAGAAATGTATTTTCCAGAATATAGATTGCACAGAAATTTGTGAATGAAGAGGACCCATCTGCATCTCCTTAAATTATTCAGTTCTCTGCTTTATTTCCCCATGCTGAGGATTTAATTGTTGAGTTGTACATTACTGTATTTTAACTTGTTGCTTAGTTTCTTACACATTTATTTTCAGTACCTGGCTGAAAGTGTTACCTATTCCATATTTTAGCACAATGTGCTGCAAACAAACAGTTGCCATAGTGCAAATGAGGTTTCATGTGTACAGAGTTCCACTTTAGGTTGTCGAAAATACTGCCTGAGTTTAGTAATTCTTTCAATCTGAAATGCATCCTTTTAGATGTTTGAAAACCACAAATAAACAGTTATTGAACCTTTTTGGATTTACCTCATTTAAACTCAGTTTTTATTTATTACTTGGCCTGTTTTTAATATCAGTGACTAAAAAAAAAAAAGTCAAGTGGGAGCACTGTTTTCATGCAATGCTTAGGGATTATTTGTATATTATGTGTACAACGTTGACTTGTTTAAAGAAACAAAGAATGAACCCTGTCCCTTCCATCCCAACCTAAACCTGTGCTCAGTTGTCCCTTGCTACACCTTTTGTTTGTCATGTTGTTTTTAGATTGATTGGAAATGCTCTCTTCAAAACTGAAATAAATTAAGTTTCAATTACAGCTACAGGAGCTTTGTATTGCTGAACTTTAGTCTGAAAAGTTTCACAATGACATTTTTAAAAAAAAAAAAAGAAATTTTTTTATCTGCTGAATTCTACCAGTGTAACCTTTTTTCTAAATAAACAATAGTTTTCTCAATGGGTCGTAAATCATTCTGTGTGTGGTCACTTTATTGCTTTATGTATTGTTATGAAAATTTGATACTAGTTGGAATTGAGGGAGGGTGCTTTCTGCCTTCGCGCAGGAGCCCTCTGTACCTGCTCGCTGATCAGATGCAACGGGTTAGTTACGCAGCGCGGTGCCTGTCGGGAAGCGGCAGATGCGTTAAGCTTCTCCGGTGTTTTTGAGAAGCTCAGGGTTTGCCTTCCTGCATTCAAGTTTACATCTTTCTGTTGAGGCATTTGTCCCTCATCCAAAGTTCATTAAAATCTCTGGCGCTTCTTTTTTTCCCCCATTTCCTAATTTAGTTAAATTAGACTGACTTAACGTGTCCTGAAAATGTCTTAGTTTAGTTTAATGCCTGACAAAAAAGGGACTCTGCCTGGCTTCTGACATAGCAGGGTAGGTCTCTTCGGTGAAACTGCCACCTCAGATGTTCACCTGGGTAAGAAATTTTCAAATCTGGAAGACATTAGGTCACACTCATGACTGATTTCCACCCCCATCCCTCCAAAAGGTGTGGATTTCCTTCAGTAAAAATGATCGCTAGTTTGTTTAAACTAGAAAATGTGGGTTGTGAAAGAATACATCTTTGTGCTCTTTGGAGGAGGGTAGCCAATGTCTTGTCTGGAGACTTTGTTCACTCTTTAGTGATTAAAAAGGTATAAGTGGAAGCTGAGCTTTTCTGGCGTGGGTACAGCAGTTTAAATACCCAGTGAATGTGTATTCACCAAAAAGCAGGAGCTGCTGTTCCGGCTAGATTCTTGTGACGTTTTGGGGATGGTGTGTGTCTCGTGCTCTTCCTCTACAGCCAATTCTTGCTCCAGGGACTGCAGGCCTGATTGAAACTTGGAGTGCATTTGCTCCTTTGTTTGCCCGGAGCCCTGTGAGGCAACAGCTCTGTGTAAACCCCAGCTAAGTCCTCTGCCTCTGTGGGCAGCCGGTACGATAGAAGGAGAAGTGGTGACCTGGAGGGGGAGAGAAAACTTCCCCTTTTGGTGCCGTTTACATATGAAATCAGTTGAATTGTAATATCAGACTGCACCGAGTAGTTCCTCTTCAGCCTTTGTGTTTGCTGTATCTTCTATCTCCTTTTTAAATTCAATTCTGCTCCTCATTTGGTGAGGATCTGCTTTCTTTTCAAAATCAATGCAATAAAACTGTGTTGGGGTGTGGAGGAGAGGATCTGATGCCAGTGGGAGGTGTTTCACAATATTAAGACTGAAATAGTAGCAGAACTGTAAGACCTTACAGGCTTGGTCCTCATGCAGCTTCAGAAGGTCTTGAGCAGACGTAGTGAGAGCTGTCACAGGTGCTTCCCAAAGGCTGGGGTGAAGTTTTCCTCTATTTTCAAAAGGCACAGCAAATACAAAGCTAATCATAGTCCCTTTAATTTGAATAATTATTTTAAAAGATGAAGTCATGCAAGTTAAGGATGGGTTAGATGTTGGATCTAAGTAGCTTGATGTAAGTAGCTAGATGTTGGATCTAAGTAGCTTGAAAGATTTAAGTGCTGTAAAGTGGTGAACTTGATAACAAAGACTGAGATTTCTTGTAGGTACAATTTCTCCCAGGACTGTAACGTATTCCAGTCCCTATAACACTGGAATTACTACATAAAGGAGTGTGTTCTCATTTTTTACAGTCTCTAACAGGGAAGGATGATCACGTTTTTCAAGGTTACACTTTCAGATTGACAAGCAGAAAACTCATTCTGCCTGTTGGGCTGCTGTGGTTTGTATTACTACCACCAGCCTGCCGTACTGGTCTCTGTCTTAATTCTGCTTACCTCTGCTAAGCGCCACGGTTGTAGCAGCAATGATTCCCATAAATGCTTTCTGTTGGCCCTGTCTTCCCAGAAGGAGGTTCACTGATGCTTATTAGTGACATTGATACAAATCAAGTTAAGTTTATGCAGGGAGATCGGTCCTTATTGATCAGGCTTGGGAAATGGGGTTTGCTCACGGGGAGGTATATAAAATAGAGCTCTGTCAGAGCAAACTAATTTTTAATGATTGCTCTGAGAAACATGCTTAATAGACTTAACTGTTCAATATTCTGTTAAAGTGAACTTTTAAAATAAAAGCACACAGAGAAATAAGGGTGACATAAAAAACTTAAACCCTATTTTAAACGGTAAGTTAATTGCTGTATGCTGTGTTGAAACAACACTGGTTTGCTCCATGTGGAGTGTCACGCTCATATTGCTTTTTCCTGGCCTGCTCCCCCCCTTGTCCAACAAATCATACGTGAGGAGCTCCAGTTTGAGGGTCATTTCTTTGTCGAAGCGCTATCTTTGGTGACGGACAGGAGTTTGTGTACATCAGCAGCAGATGGAGCTGAGGCCGGCAGTGTGGTTTGGCTCGAGAGTTGGTGTTTCTGTGGAGCTTGAGTGGTGTTTGTTTAGAATTTGCCTATAATGACTATTTTAAAATACTGAAACGCGTAAGGTACATTCTGTGCTAAACGGATAGTGTGTTTAACAGTATCGAGCCTAATAAAAGTTCATAATGACTTAGTTGGTTTAGCTGGTGGGTAAAAAAACCCCAGTGGTTCACAAAATACGTGTCAAACAATGGGGAAAATGTTATGCTGACAACATAAAGACCTTTTAAAAAAACTGCAATATGGCAATTTTTTCTCCGTCGAGAATTTTGTTTCTCTGTTTAAAAAATGTTTAACGTGCCTCGTCTGTGCCTGAAGCGATGAGCCTGGGTGTTTTCGGAGGTGATGGGGATCCTGAGTGCGTGATACTGTTGACACTGAAGTAGATGATGGGACTGAGAGGAGATGGAGCATGTGCCTGCTTAAAAATACTGCCCTGTAAGGAGTTGTAACTTGACAGATTTTTAATTGCAGAAGATGCTCTTGGCCTACAGGTACTGTCCACAAAGCAAATTAATTTGTTTTATTCCCAGGAGTATTTAGAAATAGATTTTTTTTGCATGGATTCAACATTAACAGAAGTAAACCTGTAGCTAATCGAATATTTGCTGACTATAATGATAAAAAACTAACCTTTTTGTATCAAGTATCAGTACTATTAAACACAGAGGCTTACTTGGCTTTTAAATATTGTGGGTATGTCATTTCTTGTTTGTTTGGAGATTTCTTTGGTTGTGGGGGTTTTTGTTTGTTTTGTGGTTTGGTTTGGTTTTGTTTTGTTTTTAAATCCAGAGAAAGGGAGCCTGAACCGAACGTTGAGCATCCCTGGGGCTCTGTGAAGGTCAGTTTGTGTCTTCAGTAATCTGGGATTTGGGACAGAGGGGTGTCATCTTGGTGGCTGTATTTGAAAGTACTGAATATTAAGAAATTGTAGTGCTTATAGACTTGATAGGTAAAACTCTTCTGATTAGCTTTGTCTTTATTAATTAGAGGTTATTTCTGAATGAATCAAAGACTACAAACCCTTGTACCTCAGTGCAAGAAAGACACAGACAAATTGGGAAGGGAATCAGGTAAGAGTTACCCCGCTAATTAGAGGTGAGGAAGAATTACTAAAAAGGAGCGTAACCAAGCTAAATACTCAGGCACTTTTCATTAACTCATTAGGGCAGTCTAAAATGAAATACTTCCATCAAAGTCACTCCAGTCCTTGGGATTTACCGGAGCGCGAATGCGGTGAGGCTTTGGCTGGTTGGCGGTGGGCACGGCAGCCGCCGCCCGCCCCGGGGAGCTGCCCCCGAGATGTGGTTAGGCTGGGCAAAGAAAGAGGTCACCCTGCGTCTCTGGATATAGTGTAATGCCCAAAAAAACCAGGAGACTATGTCAGCCCAGACGCTTGAAGGTGAGTTGAAAGAATCATTAAAAAGTCAGCTTCGAGGCACTGCATGCCTGCCCTGGCAGGAGGGTTGGCCCTCGCCCGCGGTGCCCGCTGGTGCGGCAGAAGCC